GTGGGCAAGCACCGCCCATCTCAAGACGCCCCTCCCATAACGTGTGTGGGGGTCTCTGGTCTTGACTTCTTCCATTTAATGTTCTATGTGTTCCCTGATCCTGGAGCTAAGCGGTCGTCCGGTTTCCCCAATGTACTCATCCCCACATAGCGCACATGATATCAGGTAGATCACGCCTGATCTCATGCAGTCACCCAACCGCCCATGAGGACAAATAACACAGTGCTCGGCAATACAATATTGATCATGCCCGCGATTGCGAGTCAGCTGTTTCCAAGTTCGGGGGTTTCGACCACACGGACTAGGCCGTCGAAACCCCACCTGTGCAGAGACATTCTTACGATAGAGCTGATCGCGTCGCTCGCAAATGGGCAAACAAAATGGCACCTTTCCAGACGGCTCAACTTCCGAGCCCTCTGGTCCAGGGAGGCGTTTAGCCCTTGGGGTTAACCATTGGGAAGAGAAAGGCTACGGACGAGCTCCAAGGGTTCCGTTTTCTCCTGTTTGCCTAAACCCTATAAGCCGTCTCAAACGTGTTCTGGTAGCCCATTTTGTTCTAAAGACACATGGTACGACCACACAGTTTGGGTGTGCGTGACTATCAGCGACCCATTTGTCGAAACCTAGCGGGTTTCCCGTCCTAACATGAAACTGAAACTCGCTAATTCCTCCAAGCTTATGACTTTCCTGGGTTAGTGGGTTGGGATGTTCCCAGGAGTCTTCTTGTTGGTCGTACATAGCCTCGCATTTCTTAAAGACACATAGTCCGCTCACACACATTGAGGGTGTATCAGCCCCCAGCTGTCGATGTGTCGTGGTTTCCCGCCCGAAACTGCACGGGGTTAGAGTACAGGGCCGTGGGAAAGTCTAATTCGTCCATGCTCCGCCTACCGTTTATGCTAACAGCCGTTCCGCGCGGCGCGTGTCGCGCGCAGCTCTCTTGGCTTTTTGCCAAGTCCTGTAATTGCGCTTTGGAATACAAGTAAAACGCAATTTCTTGATGCGGATAACATTTTAGGTGCTGCAAAATAAGAACCGAAGATGATGACGAGGGCCAGAACTCAAGAGCAACTGTGCTGCTTCTGCAATATCCCTCGGAGGCCGCGCATTCCCACAAAACATGAAAATAAAAACGGCCTAAGCGTCCCACTCGTTAGTTTGAAGTATTTCTATGGTATTGGAGCCCGTGTCCCGCCAGAATATGCATTTCCTCAATCATTCATCTTTGTTTTCGTCATCATCTTCGGTTCTTATTTTGCAGCACCTAAAATGTTATCCGCACCAGGGAATTGCGTTTTACTTATATTCCAAAGCGTATACAGGACTTGGCAAGTGAACCGCACGCGACATGCGCGCTTACGACGGATGTTAGCATGAACGGGAGTCTGCGCCGCAAAAGGCATTGGGCGGAGCATGGAGGAATTAGCGTGTTCCACGGTCCTGTATCTCCATTCATGTTAGGACGGGGAAACCGCTACGCTTCGACAGCTGAGGAAGGGGGGGGGGCTGTTATTCACGCACATCCAGAGTGTGTGTGATCGTACCATGTGTCTTCAAGGGGATGCGCCGAAAGGAAATGGACCAGGATGTTTTCATTGCTAGGTTTACGGTACCATTTGGTCCGATAGAACCCTCGTATCAGTTGGACCTGCACGTTGAGAAAAGGAAGCCAATTGTCTTCTGGCTGCTCGCTTGTGAATCGGATGTTCTCAGCTTGGTTGGCAAGCAGGTTGAAGCATGCGTCCATTTCTTCGCGGTTGAACAGACCACGAAACAGTCGTCTATGTAACGACAGTATAGGATAGGGTCGGCGGTCCAGAAGCGGCTTTTCGATCTTGGACATGTAGGCGATGGCTAGTACTGGTGCTAACCGTTGACCCATAGCCAGTCCTCTGATCTGCCTGTAGTACTGCCCCGACCACCTGAAAATGGAGCAGTCAAGACACTCTTTTACAAGTGTCATTACGTGGGTGGTTGAAAGGCATACATGTCTATCGATCGGACGTCCACAGAGCAGTTCAAAGGTGGCCTGCATGGCCCTCGTTTGACATAGAGTGATGTGACGTCAAACGGTTCCATTACATGGTTCTGTCTAAACCTGGTCACCTGTAATTTCTCAAGAAGACTGTTGGTATTACCCTATGCTGCTTATTATCGGCGTACCTTGAAGTCCGAGGGATTGGTGGAAGACAGGGTGGTCTGCTGTAGCTTATGAGTCTTGATGAGGACATAGAGGACTGGGCAGGTTGGTAGATCACACTTCAGTCGTGTACCTTCGGTTCTTGGCAGCTCTGTCGATCAACGCCCTGTTTAGCCTACGATAGCCTGCCTTTTAGCCTGCCTTTTGAATTCCTCCTCAGATGACGACCGTTAAAGACTATCATCTCGGGGGCAGATTCTCTTTTGTGGCAATATCAAGATCTCAAGGCAGTACAGCAAATTCATCTCTTTTATCGCTGACGGATATTGGACGCGATTTTAGAAGCCAGCGTTTTGAGCAGTTCTTCGATTTGAGGCTGGCTTTTTGCGCTGCTTTCACTGATATGGAGAATAAGGAGGTCGCAAACAGCCGAAACTTGACACCCACTGAGGGTTGGGGTCTTGGGGTCTGAAGAAAAGGGAGGGGAAGGGCATTGTGGGGGATCGTGACGGTAGTAAAGGTTGTGGGCTGTTTCCTCGCAGCTTAACCTTGAGGCGAAGATTGCCTTGAAGAGTTTGCAAGGCTCCCAGGATTTTTCGTGTTACCCCATGGCTCAATTCTCCGTTGTATCGGAGTGCAAGGTGGCTGCAGTTGTTGCCATCAGATCTGCAGGGGACGTCAAATACAGAAGCATTCCGGAAAAAATTGAAGAAAGTAAATCTACTCTCCCTGATAGGCATTCATCATGTCTGATAATTGCAAATCTCAAAAATCAAAAAATACGAGAATACGAAAATAATATATAATGTACAAAAATCTCATTGAGTTGCTTACTACCCTAATAAGTACTTAACATAAAACTGTGATTCTGGGCGATTTTAACTTATCAGTAGACCGGAGACCGGAACAAGATTCCTACAGATACCCGCTGAGTGGTCGCGTTTCTGCGGAATTCCAACGATACCACATACGTTTGTTGTGTTTCAACATTCTTTATATTTTTTGATCAAAACTCTTTCGAGCATGCCTCACACGGTGCGTGGCAAAGTTGGTTGCTTTGCCTACTATAGAGGAGGAAGCCACTCCTGAACCTAGTGAAATCCGTTCTAGTGAGTATGCAAATATGACGTCCGCTGACTTAATCAAATGTATACTTGAGCGGAACAAAGATCCTATTATAGCGCATATGCTCACAGTCCTGTCAGAGAAAATACCAGGGGAAATTCTCATCACATAGAGTCCGAAAAAAGATGCAGGAGCATTGTTATATCTGGCATCAGTGAGTCCCCTGAAAACCTACCCCCATCTGAACGGCAAAGCGATGTTGAAAAGAAGGTCTCTGAGATTCTCGACGTTCTTAATGTTGAGTGCAGACCCACAGAAGCTTTCAGGATTGGTAAAATCGACCCCAAAAGACCGCGCTTAATCAAAGTTGTACTACCGTCGCAATCTCATTGGCGTAAGGCTTTAGCTAATGCTAGGCTGCTCCGAGGGTCAGGCTACGCTAATGTTTTTGTTCGCAAAAGTATGACCGCAGAGGAAAGAAGTAACGACTATGAACGACAACTAGGCGTGAAAGAATTCACAGGAAAAGCAGTCGTGTATGGGTTGTGTACCGTGGACAACTCAGAAAAGTCTCAGATCTTCCCCGGAGAAGATCGGAGAAAGCTTGAGTATCATGGTACAGTGTCATCTTCATCCAGATTACTCGATTCTCACTACTCGGTTAGTAATGCTCAGCATCACCTTCATTCCCATTCATCTTGCGATGCCCCTGACAGCAAGAGGCAAAGTAACCCTGAATCTGATTCTAACCATAGTATGCTAGGTGCTCCTGTCCCCCTTTTCTGCACTTTACTCAACGCTCGAAGTCTAGTGAACAAACTCAACCACCTCCAGCTGTTTCTTTCGAAAAATGAACCTGACCTATTGTTGTTACGGAGACCTGGTTAACATGTAAGATCAAGAATTCTGAAGTATCATCCCATCTACCGTATGATGTAGTACGGTTGGATAGGAATGATAAGAGAGGTGGTGGAGTTTGTTGTGTTATCAAGAATACACTTACCTCACGAATCGTACGTCACGACATTCGCTCCAAAGCTGATGTACTGTGCGTTGATATACTACCCCACTATGGTTATTCCCCCTTCCGATTTGTTATGTGTACCGCCCTCCCGATTCTCTGATTAGCGATGACGAAAATCTCATTGAGTTGCTTGCCACCGTACTGAACGTGAGAACTGTGATTCTGGGCGATTTCAACTTATCAGTAGACTGGGCAATTATGATTCCCACAGGTTCCTATTCTGCCAAATTCCTGAACTTCTCTCGCAACTCAGGTCTTGATCAGGTGGAGCGGGAACCAACCCATGAAAACCGGATCCTTGATCTTATTCTCACTACTACCCCTTCTATTACAAACGTGTCACTGATGCCTCCTTTGTCAAGCTCTGACCATTGTATTGTGAACTTCCATATACAGGGGTTTTACTCTACCTTCATATCACCACCCATGCCGGATTACCATAACGTGAACTACGCTTCCTTGATAACAGCCTCCATAACGTAGATTGGTTCACGGTTTTCGAAGGCTATGATTCGATGTCCGACCTGTATCGCAGGTTTTGTACGCTCATCTATCAATATTTATCTGCTCATGTGCCCTTCAAAACGCCGCGTAGACATAGCATTCGATACCCCCTACAGTTCGAAACTTACTCGCTCAGAAGCAGCGCATTTTTCTTGCGTCTTCAGATTTTTGAGAAGTCCACTGTATAGAAAAGTTTGTGCTGACATTGATCTGCATCTAAAGAGATTTTGGGACAACTACGAATGACGGCTAGCCATACGTGCTTGTATGAAGAATCTATATCCGTCACAAAATGAAAGCGGTAAATTCTGGCTCTCTTGTTGATATGGATGGAATACCACGTACTTCCGAAACTGATAAAGCTACCGCACTTGACAGTTTTCCGGGGCCTTTAACAAAGATGCTGACCCTGCGTTCTTACTTACAAGTTTCGAACCCATTCAATGCCGTTGCAATGACTTCTACTTTACTCCCAATAGATTTTTAGCGTTCTGAAGAGATTGAAACCCTCTACCAGTGAACCGTACGATGGAATACCTCCTATAGTTTATAAGAAATGCGCTCGCTCGCTTTCGCGACCGCTTGCTCATTTATTCAACGCATCATTCATGCTGGGCGAGGTTCCTGAGATCTGGAAGGATGCGCTAGTCACAGGGATTCCAAAGGTTGATGGAGCCGTCTTGGTATCGGACTTCCGCCCAATTAGTATTACTCCAACACCTGTCAAAGTGATGGAAAAGATTATTCGAAAGAGAACTCTTGATTGGTCACTAAAAATAAGCTTATTCCACAAGAACAGCACGGTTTCCTTCCTGGGCTATCGACTGTAACAAACCTTGTTGACAGCTTTTATGACTGGAATCTAGCATTGAACCATGGTAAGTCAATCGACATTATCTACGTTGACCTATCCAAAGCATTTGACAAGGTGAATCACGCAAAACTGCTTCTAAAACTGCAATCTCTTGGGATTGCTGGGAAACTCTTAAGTGGTTGAGATCCTATTTATCTGAACGACATATGACTGTCAATGGCAAATTTTCTCTGACCGATTTCACTGCACTAGTGGCGTACCCCAAGGCGGAGTTCTATCTCCTCTACTTTTTGTGATCTATACCTTAGATTTGCCGTCCTACCTCAAAACATCTGAAAATGTAAGAGTGCAAATGTATGCTGATGATATTAAAAATATATGGTATCTTCAACGATGATAACTGTAACGAGGTTCACTCAGCTCTTAAACGTTCGATTGAAAACTTGAAATCTTGGGCCACACACTGGGATATCGATGTAAATCCAAAGAAGACGTTTGTACTGCATATAGGTAAAGCCTATTTTACACAATATACAATCAATGGTGTGAATTTGAAAAGCTGCGAACTCTCTAAAGATCTTGGAGTTTTGACACGAATTTGAAATTATCTAAACACATCGAACATATAGTAAACAAGGCATACCTACCCTTTTGGCTACCTTTTTTTGCAGTTTTTCGAAATACCTATACCACTGATGTAACCACTCTGGTACGCCTTTACAAGACATATGTACTGCCGCATCTTGAGTATTGTTCTCAGATTTGGAATCCCACACGTAAAAAGCAAATCATCAAGCTAGAAAAGGTACAGAAGTTGTTTACAAGGCTGCTGTTCCATCGTGCTTTCCAATGTCACAACTCAATGCCAAGTTATAACGAACGTTTAAGACAATTAGGCTTAAAGACGCTTAGACACAGGCGAACGATTGCGGACCTTGTTTTTTGTTTTCGCCTTCTACGCATGGAGACTAATCTGTCTCCAAGTAAGTATTGGGTGTTCAGGCCAAGTCACGAAAGAATAGGCGGATTCAACTTACATTACCCTCGGATTCAAAAGAAAAATCAGACTCAATTATATAATTTTGTGCTCTACCGTGGTGCGAGGTGGTTACAACGTTTACCCACTGAAATTCTGTCGTCTGGTGACAGCCATAGTTTTAGAAAAAAACTGATAAAGATCGAACCTATTACAGCTTCTCGGGTTGGATGACTCATTTTAGTCTCAAACATCTACCTTTTTTTCAGTACATTTGAAGTTCTTGCTGTGTGCAGTATATTTCTCAAGGATTCCGTCATATTCTTTGTGGAATCGAAGGCATAAATCACGTTATCATTGATATTCATGTTTTCACCATATCTGTAAGAAGGAGGCACACTGGCTATCTAAACTGAATCCTGAGGTTTTTTTCTTGAATTGTTTACATTGATCACTTGTTCTACTGTAGTCTGATGATCCTCAAGGTTGATCTCGCAGTGGGCCACATCAACTGTCAAGGGGAGGACTATATTACAAGTGTTCAATTATAATCTTCACTTATAACCTTTTTTCTCTTCTCAGGAAGTAGTATGAATAGCGTGTGCTCCTTCTCTCTGTCTTAATGTTTAGTGGAAATATTGGGCTTTCAATGAGTTTATTATAGTGTAGCAGTTTGTGGAACACTTTATGATGTAAATAAACAAACAAATAAATAAATAAACAATTCTGAGTCTTCAGAACTTCTCACCTATGTGTAGTGATATTGCCTAATTGAGTCTTTTTTGTATTATGCTGTATGTGTTGCAGTTTCGTAGCCGTTTATCCCACATATGTTTATTGTAGCGCACCTGTGCGTGCATGATAAATAAACAATTATAAATAAATAAGTAATAAATAAATATTATGAGTTTAATTCTTCTTCTTCTCCCTAGCGTTAGTCCCGCGCCGTTGCAGGGTCCGCTGTTCTTGTTAGCCGTCACCACTTGTTCCCGTTCACATGCATCTTCGTGCTGCGCTTTATTTCAGTCGAGGTTCGCTTCTTGATGACCGCCTCAATCTTTCTTGGGCCCTCGTGGTCCCTCGCCCTTTACTTCGAATTCCAATGCCTTCCTTATTGGGTGGTCTTCAGGCTTCCCTAGTACGTGCCCATAGCAGTCGCTGCTCTCGTGCGTTCAGCTGGATTGGAGCCGTCCGTGTGATTCGGCCTTAGACGTCCTCGTTTCTGACCTCTCTCGAGCCGTGTCCACACCGGCAGCCCAATCCAGATCCTCATTTCAGCTGAATGGAGCTGCCTTTCATGGTTCTTGCAGATGGGCCAGCACTCACTACCGTAGAGCATTGTAGGCCTTACCACCGCCCGGTACACCTTTCTCTTGAGGCCTTCTCGAGCACGCCTTGTCGCCAGGATGCCCATGCGATTTCGCTCCATTTTCCACCAAGCCTGCGTTTGATTCGGGCCGTCACCAGCCTGGTCCATTGCTGCCATCAGTGCTACACGCTCCCCAAGCAGGTACAGATCGTTGTGTAAACTCATGGGTGGGGGGGGGTCGTACCTGGCCGATGGAGAGGGGGGGGTCGTAATCTCAAGGGTCACTCAGAGCCGAGCAATGGTTCGACATTTCAGTTGATAGTGGGAGTGGAGCTATGGAAGTCAAGATGTTTAAAAAAATGAAGTTTATTATGAGTGTATTCTTTACAGCTTTAAATGCTACGTTTAACAGCCCTCTTTTCATGGGAAATCCCCAAGAATGGGTTCGTACTTGGCCGCGGGGGGGCGTGGGAAGTGGGGTAGTATTCCAAAAGTAGGCTCGCTAGGCATCAAACAGTACAAAGGTGTCATTGCTAAGGGTAATGGAACGGACGGAAAGCTTCAGAAGACCCGGATGTAAATAGGAATACAAAATAATAAAAGATTTATTAGCAATATAGCAAGAATAAATAAATAAATAAGTGTCAGTTTATAGCATGAACTCGTAAGTACGTAGATGACTAAATAATACGTCTCAAACAGATTCGTGCGTGTTGTCCTTTACAAACCCTAAACAAACATCTGCTTGCATGGATAAAAGCACCTGAAATTAGAATTTACACCTTTCCACCACCTCTCCGTAGGAGCCTAATGCACGGACCAAAATCGATCAGAGATAGCCGAGCTTCTCTTTCACTCATTTGAAGGGAAATATGTGTTTTGAAGGCACACTGAAGTTTCCGAAGGTGTATCCTCACAATGGCACATAAGGAGTCAATTTTTCGGGTGGGTCAGAGGGTGGCGCATCTGTGACCCATCTAAAATATCTCCTGAACTAGTGGGTCTTCAGAAAAACTGTAAAGCTTATTGGAAAGAGAAAAGATTGAGGGAATTCTTATTGGGAAAGAGAAAAGATGGAGGGAGCATCAGTGGAGTTTTCAAGATGACTTCAGTCTCCTGATGGAGCATTGCGGTTGAACGAAGCAGTTCCTTGTGTGAATCATGGAAACCAGCTCGCGATTTACCCCTGGCCGAACCGTGACCCATCCGGAATATTTCACCAACGGGGGATTGTTCAGTTTGCAGCTAGGTAGAATACACAATAGTAGAAACTTTGCCGTTGCATGCTGCTCACCATTCCTCAAAAGCTCCGCACCTAAAAAAGATATAACCCCCGAACAGACCCCAGGACGTTGGCAAGTCCAACAACCGCGCTCCAATGACGTTTTCGACGTTTTTCCAGAGAAGCGGTCGCAGCCTTGCGCCCTGCAGCCTGATCGATAATAGCCAAGTATGGAACGATTTACTGCCGTTATCCTTTTTTCATTTAGCTCTGCATTTTTTGTATTTTCCATGTTTCGCTTTGTTGTGTCGTGCATGTTTTCATTATTTCCCCGTCACCATTCATTGAATGCACATCTGGGCCCTGACACGCTCACCTTGGGGCTATTTTTTTCACCAATTCAGCCTATCAATGATCACCATTAGCCGCTATTTCAATTGTGTTCTTGTTACAAGTTGCATGTCATACATAGTTATCGAACGAGGAGTTTTATTTTGAATCCTAAGACAAAATTGTAGGTAATGCGAGGCTGTTGTTCAGCCTCATATTGCATGAGGCTGAAACAGCCTTTTATTTCCTGTATTTTAGAGCAGAGTGCGCCTTTCGAGAATCCAGATTCCATTTCAGGAAGCCATTTGTGGTGAACATGCATCTGGTTGTCAGTTAGAGCAGGAGGGGGGGTCGTATCTGGACCCTCTTCGAGGGGGGGGGGTCGTACCCACACCGCCATTTGACACATCCCCATGCTGTACCCTGTCCCCAAATACTGGAGGTCCTCGATCCTTCCGATGCTCTCGCCATGGCGGTCCATGATGGGATCGATGCACTCACTGATGCGGATCGATGGCACTCACTCTGCAAAGTTTGACACTCTTGGTCTTCTTTACGTTCAGCCGGAGTCCATTCTTAGCGAGCACATCCTGCCACCGCTGTACCTTGTCCTGAGAGTTCCTCCCTGCTGTCCGCTATCAGGGCAATGTCGTTCAGCGCCAGAGGATTGGTTTTTAGTAGCCCTCCCTTGAGTTCTTTGGCTCTGCACATCAAGATTAGTGAGGAGAGAACGGGCTTGAGGGCTGTCCTCAGCTGATACCCCGGCCAAATGTTTATCTCCTTAGTCAAAGCCGATGCGGAGGCGGATACAGCTGCATTCAGATCCCATCGTACCATGTCCACTCACTATGAACAGTGTGGCGGACGTTACGTTTCTCTGAGCGCTCCTTCCAGGAGTGACAGGCCGAGGCAGGCGCAGTCGGCGCTTCTCAAGGTCAGGAAGGCTAGTAGCAGGGTCGCCATTCTGCTATATTCTCCATCACCTCTCTTGGACGCGTGAAGATGGCGTCAGTGGTGGACTTTCGGGTAATTGAAGCCGCCGGACTGTTCCGTTGGAGATAGCGAGAAGTCCTCAGCCTCTGTGTTGGCAGCGCGCGTACAGCTTTCATGGAATATGGGGAGTCAAACTTGAATGCCGCGCTTAGTTGAAAGCACTCTGTCGTGTCCCTATTCTGTTGAAGATTGGTCGGACAATTTGTGCGCTCCCGTCACGCATTCCTCATCCCGGGCATTCATACTTTCAAGCCGTACTTGTTCAAGAAGTGTGCTTGAGCCAATCACCCCATGTTCTCCGAGGACCTTACATGCCTCTATCCGTACCCCGTCTGAACCCTTTTGCTTTCCCTTCATTTCCCTATCTCTCGACGGAGTTCATCCTCCGTCCAGGGAGCGATGGGACCTTTCGTTGCCCCTATCTGTGGGCTATCGTTGCGGGAGAATTTTCCGTTCAGAAGTCCCTCAAACTATTCCCACCTCTTTCTGACTTCGGCTGGTTTCCTGAGAATGGCCCCGTTGCTGCTCTTCACAGTCTTTACGACCCTGATGTCCTGAGCTGCGCGATGCCGAGCTTTAGCCAGGCGGAAGACGAACTTGTCCCCTTCTCGGCCTTCCAGCTTCTCGTACAGGGTATCCTTGGCCTTAGCAACGGCTGCCTTAGCGAGTCGCTTGCAGCTCTTGTAGGCAGCGTAGTCTTCTGGGCTCCTTGTCTTTTGCCAGCGTTTGTATGCTTCCTTCTTCTGCTTGACGATCCCCTGGACTTCCTCGTTCCAGAACCAGGCTGCCTTGTCTCCTCTGATACCACCTCGCGTCTCTCCCAGGACCTCCCTTGCACACTGTAGGATGACCTCTGCTGCGTAGGTCCAGGTGTCCTGGACTGGCCCATGTGGGTCTGGGAGCCCAGCCTCCAGTATTCTTCGGCCGAGGCTATCCTTTTCTACCCTGCGCATTTTCCACCACCGAATTCTTCGCTCTGCTCTCACCCTCGTCTTCTTGGGAGGTCTATGGCGATTCCCCAGGCTGTACCTTGATATCCTTGACGGTTTTGAGAGACGATCTTCTCACCAGGACATGGTCGATTTCCGTTTGTCTCCCTCCACTGCTGTAGGTTAGTCCTCCTTTTCGCGAAGAAGGTGCTGCAGATTGCTAAGTCGTGGGCTGTGGCTAGGTCAAGGATCCGTTCTCCCTCAGCGTTCTTGCTCCTATTCCTTGACCTCCGTGCACCCTTTCTAGACCCCTTCTGTCATTCCCACATGGCCATTCAGATCCCCAGCTATGGTGAGGTAGTCATCTTCCGGAACCGATCTTATGGCCTCGTCCAGGGTCAGGTAGAACTCATCCTTTTCCGCTTCGGAGCAACCGGATTGTGGTGCGTAC